GCGGCCTAATACGGACTTGTGTGGCCCTAAGTACCCAAAATACCTGAGGACCCACACCTTCGAACCCCAAACCCTAAACCCCTAAGACCCCACCCTGAACCCTAAACCCTAAACCCTAAACCCCTAAATCCCTAACCCCTAAATCCCTAAACCCTAAACCCTAAACCCTAAACCCTAAACCCTAAACCCTAAACCCTAAACCCTACAACCCCAAAACAAACCGCAACGAGAGCAGAGTGCTCGGCCTGACAGCCGGACATCGCGAGCGGCTGACCTGAGGGCTCACTCTGTGCTTCAGGGTTCAAGGAGTTTGGTTTAGGGTTTAGGGTTTTTAGGGTTAGGTTTTTAGGGTTTAGGGTTTAGGGTTTAGGGTTTAGGGTTTAGGGTTTAGGGTTTTTTGCTTTTAGGATTAAGGGTTTAGGGTTTAGGGCTTAGGGACATGGATACCTCAGTTCCACGACTCCAGTGGGATTCCGCCTGGTTGGTCTTTTTCTTTGCATCCACTAGTAGGAAGCCCAATAAGGTGGGGATACCCCTATAAAATGATTATGCTTATGTATGTCCTTTTTGGGTCCCCAAACTAAACTTAACTGAAACAGTGGGTATCGTCTTCAGTCGACAGGCTACGGCCTCGGACGCGACGTGGAGGAAAAAAGGTTCCTTCAAGGGTTTCCACAAGGATCGAACAAAGGGGCCTTAATAATCTTGGCACGGGGTCTGCTTTCGCGACTCTAGCCCTGTCTAAGGCTTGCAGGCATTTCGGGGGATTAGGATGTTCATGAAGTTGCTTTTAAGTGCACTGCTAAAAAAACTGCACAGGGATGACAAGATGTCACTCTTAGAGATCCCTACGTTAGGCTGCGGTGATTTGGGGGTTTCCGAAAATAGGGGACCCAAATATAGCACCCTAAATAGTAGGATCCCTATTATAAGGACCCCAGAATAAGGTACCCCTTGTTTTCGGAAACTCCCATTTCTGGGAGCTGTGCTCACCAAAGGCTGCAGCAGCGTCGCACCTGAGGCCGTGGCTGCACACCCGCTGAGCAGCCTCAGGTGTGGAGCTTGTGTCTAGGAGTTTAGGGGGTTTAGGGTTTAGGGTTTAGGGTTTAGGGTTTAGGGTTGGACTCTGAGGGGATAGTCATCCTTAAACTCTCGAACAAGTCCTATGAAGCCCTATGAACCCCTCTGAAGCCCTATGAAGCCCTTCGAGGAACCCTTAAAGGTATCACGCAGACATGTCGGACACGTGCTAAACCCTAAACCCTAAACCCTAAACCCTAAACCCTAAACCCTAAACCCTAAACCCTAAACCCCAATCCCTTTTGCAGCTCCCGGCCTCAACCGCTTGGGAGACGACTTTGCATGCCGAGGGAAAGGGCCTCGGCTTCGGGTGTAGGGTTGCGAGACTTCCAGTCAGCGACTGTGATCCTAGATACTCCAAAACCCTTTAATTAAGGAATATACCTTAAATGATACTAGGATCCCTTATATGATTTAAAGTATATTCCTTAATTGAGGGGTATTGGAGTCTCTAGGATGGCAGAACGCAGCATTGAGAGACTTCCAGTTAGCGACTGCGATGGCAGAACACGGGACGATGTCCGAAAAGCCGAGTTGCGCCAGGGCGACCGTCTGTGAGTGGCAAGCCATGCTCAGACTCGGCACAGACGGTTTAGGGTTTAGGGTTTAGGGTTTAGGGATATTTTGGGTTTAGGTGCAGGAACACGGTCTGCTGGTCCTGTGCCCCTAAACCCTACAGTAAAACCCTAAACCCTAAACCCTAAACCCTAAACCCTAAACCCTAAACCCTAAAACCCTAAACCCTAAACCCTAAACCCAATCAACGCAGGCAAACAACTTGCATGGCCTGCCACTCGCCGCAGGAGCGTTCAGCCTGTGCTTTGAAAGAGCCAACCATACGGGCCTTAAGATTTAGAATAGGGCTTCGGGGTATGTATATATATATATATATATCCTCCTATACGTATATGGAACCCCTCAACATTTTTGGTCATTACTTAGGCCTCTACAGTTTAGGGAGGGAATTCCTCCGAAGTGGCCCCCATCGAAGGTCCTGGTGACGAATCCGTCCCAACCCTAAACCCTAAACCCTAAACTTGCCTTGTGTTCACCGGGGTCAACATGTTTTCTTGCAGCCTCAAGTGCGGTGATTCAGACAATTTCGAGTGCTTCATATTTGATCTGGAAAACGAAGATCTTGCTGTTCAGAGTTTTCGGTGTTTGGTGCGCCTTATTTTCTGAAACTCCCAAGCGGTCGGGAACCTTCTCATGTACATCAAAGAGCAGCTGAGCGGTTTCGACACTCTCACACACCCAGTGACTTCGCATCGTAAGCAGAGAGGAAAGCTCCGACATCCAGTGCAGAGACCTGGGGAGGACCAAGTACGGAGACCATCTTCAACAGGCATAGCTGCTTCAAGATCTTCCCCTGGGCTTTGAAGTAACCAGGAAGAAAAAAGTATAGACTTTTATTTCATAATGGTTCCTTTAAGGAACAGGTCCACAAAAAAAGTATTCAAGTATGGTACTCCGAAGCCCAGTCCCAGACTTTGTCCTAATCTGATCGCGGTGATATAGCAGGGATACTCCTGCCCGAAGTACTGATCCTTCCTGGTCTCTGCAGCGTCTTCCAACAAGGCGAGCTCAGGGCCTTACACGCTCCCCATTGAAGAAGCAGTTCATGCCGACTTTTGTGACTGTTTCGGGTGGTAGTGCCTGGTGGTACAGGCGGTCATCAGCCTGTCCCCTGTCATTGCAATTCCTCCACATGACCTTCATGGTTGGGGTAGTATTAAAAATCTAAATTTGTAGTCCTTATTGGGTTTAAGTACCCTTAAAAATGTAAAATGTTACCCAACCATGACAAAGTGACAGCTGTGCCTCGTCGGGGTGTAAACTTCATGCCCAGCAACGGAAAATACGTCTCTCCTTCGTCTGGCGAGTCTGTCAGGTACACAAACACCTTAGTTGCTGAGTTCATAAGCCACAAAAAGTGTACACTTTCAGCTTTTTAGTGGGTAATATTAACCCAAAAAGTGTAAAGTGTATCCACTCAGCTACTAAGACACGGTCTTTGGGCGATGCGGCCCATCATGATGAAGGTTGAAGAACTGCCCCGGCGAGTAGCGCACCAACGTGAGCTGCTCCAGATGCTCCACTGTCATGCCGGTCATCTCTGCCAAGCGCGCCTCAATCCTCTCTACAAGAGGGCTTTCGGCCCAGTCCATATGGCACTGGTATGAGGAGCGATCAAGAACTGATCGCGTCGCCTCTCCTGTCCCGTATGCATCTACCAAGGAGGGATACCAGCGGTCACTGCTAGCTGCAAGGAGCTCGTCCACCTCTTCTTCAGAAAGAAACTCCGGGGCGACCAAAATGTCTGGATCCTCGCTGACTCGAATCATCGTACGGTTCCTTGGGCCAACATCGAATTTGAATCTCAAATCGATTCTCCCTGCGGTGCGAGAAAACTGCCGACTAGGCTAGAGCTCGAAGTTTCGCTGCCGGGGTGCTGTCCGTACTTCACGCCTCTCCCGACATCTAGCCTGCCACGCACAAAAAATTTTTGTCAACATAGAAGCAGAGGAGCCTACTGAAATAGAACAACACAAACATGCTCATGATCGCAAGCTCTTCTGTGCGTGGTCGTGGCCTCTGGCCCCGATGCTCCGTGCCACCCCGCCCAACCCCTTCCCATCGTGATGAAAGTGTATAAACCCTAAACCCTAAACCCTAAACTCTTTCTCGGAAACTCGAAAGTCACATCGCCAAAGCATTTATACTATATTCTCTACTTGGAGGATCATGAGACTTAGTAACTAGGGCTATAAATAAGGTAACTATACCTACAAGTAATTATAACCCCAATTAAGATAGCTATAACCTTACCTACCAAGTCCCATGATCCTCCAAGTACTATATACGATACTATACTATATACTATATCTTCGCACGAAAGCATAAGACGGGTGCTCCTGAACCCAAAATGCACGCGTGGCTTTCCCAGCTTAGGGTTCAGGGCTTGAGGGTTGGAGGGCTTTGGGATTTGGGGTTTGGAGGTCTAGGGTTTTGTTCTTCGGGGCTTGGGGTTTAGGGTTTGGGGGTTTTGGGTTGGGGGGGGGGGGAGTTTTGGGTGTGGAGTTTGGGTTGTAGGGTTCGGGTTTGGTGTTTAGGGCTTTAGGCTCTGCCTCTTCGCGTCAATGACACGATCCTCTTGGAGTAGCCATCCCAATGGCTGCAGAGAAGTAGTCATGGTGACCTTCAGAATTACTTTATGCTTAAACGGCTCCTTGAATGTCCCCTTTAAGGGTTTCTTGAAGGGCTCCTTTGACGGCTGGACTACTGTAAGGATCAGAGCCTGAGGTTGTAACATTGTAGCTTCGAGCTGCCAAGCAGCAACGCAGGATACCCTACTTACTAAGTAAGCCGCGCCGTTAAGCAGATCCTGCCAGACCACCGAGCAGCGCATTTTGCGAACAACTCCCTGGCTCTTACTAGGAATGGGGGAACGGATCCCTAATAGTAGTCTCTAGAAACCATTCTCCATTCCGTACTAAGAACCACCCTGAGCCCCTAAACGCTAGAACCCTAGATTCCCTACTAAGAACCTAAACCCTGCACCCTAAACGCTTGAACCCTCAACCCTAGATTCCCTACTAAGAACCACGCTGAACCCTAAACCCTAGAAGCCCTAGAACCCTGGAGCCCTAAACCCTAAACCCTAAACCCTGAACCCTAAACCCTAAACCCTAAACCCCTAAGACAGGCGGCCAGATTGATCGCTGTGAGAAGTCGCGAGCTTGCCAGGAAAGACCCGATGCTTGTCTGCAAACCTCGACCGCAGGGTTTAGGGTTTGAGGGTGCAGGATGGCTTACGAGCAGGATTTAGGGTTTAGGGGTTTAGGGTTTAGGGGTTTAGGGTTTAGGGGTTTAGGGATTTAGGGTTTCGGGTTTTGGGCTTAGGGTTTAGGGGTTTAGGGGTTTAGGGTTTAGGGTGTAGGATTTAGAGGTTTAGTGAGGTGGGCTTGGGATACGACAATTAATTAGCTTTAAGTTGGCTGCAGATACTAGAACAATAAAAACCTACAACCCGAACCCACCAATCCCTACACCTCAAATGCCGTACAGCAACCCTTGTAGTACCCCGAAACCCTAAACCCCTAACCCCCAAACCCCTAAACCCCTAAATCCCTAAACCCCTAAACCCCTAAATCCCTAAACCCCTAAACCCCAAAGGCCCTAAACCCCAAAGGCCCTAAACCCTAAACCCCTAAACCTAAACCCCTAAACCCTATAAGGCCCTAAGCACAAGCCATGCCAAGGCACTTTCAGGCACAAAGCAGACTGGAGCCATCCTGGGGGATGCCAAAAGAGACTCGGTTTAGGGTTTAAAGGTTAAGGGTTAAGGGTTAAGGGTTTAGGGTTTAGGGTTTAGGGTTCAGGGTTTAGGGGTATAGGGGTTTAGGGTTTAGGGTTTAGGGTTTAGGGTTTAGG